GGATAATAAATGTCAAGTTCTAATCCAGTTGGGTGATCTAAAGTTTTAAGAAAATCAGGTCGACGTATCTTAGATGGCGGTCCAAGATATTTTGACATAATCTCTCGACACAATCTTTCACGTTTATATTTAGAGCAATATGGACACCATGTATTATCATTTTTTACATGAGAAAGGGTAGCATATCATTGATGGTTTTTATTGCATCTCCAGAGTAACTGGCTTTTGCAATTGGTATAAGAATCCGTTAAGCATTTCTCTCCTCGACTATATGCAATAGCTTTGGCTACCGAAATATCAAGTTTTGTGCTAGCGCAATATGGACACCAATAGTTCTTGTTCTTAATACCATTGAGGGAAGCAAGCTATTCATGTGATTTGAAACATCTCCAGTGTAAATGCGTTGTATAATTGATGTAAACATCGGATAAACACTCTCCATTTCTGCTACGTGCTAATTCTTTCGTATATTCAATGTCAAGTTTCTCAGACTTACCTACACAATGTGGGCACCAAGTCCCTCTTTGAATACTATCGATTCGAGCAAACCATGAATGTCCTTTAGAACATTTCCAAGATAGCAGAGTACGTCTGTTATGATAAGAACTAGAAAGACATGTCCCACCCCTTTTATTTGCAAGATTCTGGGCAAATTCAAGTCCAAGTTTTATACACTCATGACACCAATTTTTTCCATTTTTGACATTTGAAAGAGAAAGGAGAAACCAATGACTATTTTCACATTTCCATAAAAGAGGTGAGTTAATATTAACGTAATTCTCAAAAATACACCATCCATTTTTAGCGCATGCCAGTTCTTTGGCCACTGAAATATTGAGTTTTCTATTTGAGCAGTAAGGACACCATGAATGGCGATTTTTAATAGATCGAAAAGAACACTTCTATTGATGGTATTCGCTACATTCCCAAAGCATTGGAATTTCACAATTGATATATTCTTTGGAAAGGCATTTTCCTCCATAAGATTCTGCTATCATCATTGTATCACTCAAAAAAAAATTATTTTTTGGCATTGCGGTCAACAAAATATGTTTCTTAAATAATTATTCTACTTTTCAAAATACTATGGAGTATTACGAACTATGCAAATTAGATGAAACTATACCTTTGAAAAAACAGAATCTATTTGCTTCTAAATATCCATTTAGACTACTAGTTGTGGACACTTCTGAATCTGGAAAGACAAGCATGGTAGTACATCTGCTCCTAGGAAGCAAATATCCAAAAATATATCCATGGATGTCTGGTGAAAAACATGGTCATAAAGTACCAAAAGGCGGGAGCAAAAATTTTGGAGAAAGGTATATTCCATGTGATAATCTAATTGTTGTTGCGCAATACCAAGATGAAGAGTTATGGGAAGCAGTACAATGTTTTTATAAGTTTATAGCCATGGATAAGCAAGCTCCATGGTATGAAAATGTGAGATTCAAGCTGATTGTGCCTGAAGAACTACCTGATATTTCATCTTTCAAAAGAACTGGCCAATTTACTGTTATAGTCTTTGATGATCTTGCCGGCGAACCTCTTGCAACCCAACTAAAAGTCATTCTTTTCTTTAGGTCAGGCAGACATAATGGAATTAGCTCAATTTATATTGCTCAACGTTTCTATGAAACCTATTCAAATATACGCGGAAATCTTAAATACATTTCATTGCATCATGGATGTGGAACTTTAGATAGCATAAAACGAATTCTTAAAGATACACATGATGATTATGAACCTCTAGCAAAAAAAATTTATGAAATAATAAAAAAGCATTTTGTGGTTATTGATATCTGAAGATCATCTGATGACCCCTTATCAATTAGATTTAGATGGGACAAACCTTTGAAGGATTGGCAAAACAGTTGAACTTGGATGATTTGTGCTTTGTAGCCTCATCAATATCCATAAGGAAAAGTTTCATTGGAGGTAATCTTGTTTTTGAGTTTTTCTGCATGATGGATTGGGAATCCATAACTCTGTTTTCTATATACTGAATAAAAATTTTCTTCCTTTTTGGTTGGACGAAAAATATTCCTGTATATATACCAAATAATTAGTATTGTTATTATAA